GTCGATGTACTTCATATGCCCCACCGCTGGTCACTGCACCAGTGGCATGAAGCTGGCCGTCAGCGTTGTTTCAGCCAGTGGCACAGTGTATGCAGTCAATTATGTTGTTGGTGACAGCAGTGGCTGGACCCAAGGTGTAAATTACGCTACCTGGGCTCAGGGAAAAACATTCAATGTGGGCGACACTCTTTGTAAGTTTCAAATTAAACATGTTTCACATATATAAATATAAACTTAATTTAACAAATTATTTATTAACTTTCATATTATTTTTAGTTTCATCTATTATTTTTGAATTTTTTAAATCATGTTTATTATCTTTCATATTTATTTTAATTTCATCTGATTCGTTATCTTTAACTTTAGCGAAAATTTTCTTATTTTATAAGAAGATATTTAGTTCTCTAATTATATTTCTTTTGATCTTTTAGTCCTTAAATTTATATTCATCGTAAAAATTGTTTTTATTCTTATCTCGCTAAATGTTTTAATTCTTCTAGAGTAAATGCTTTACAAACTTTATAAACATATTTATCTCATAGTAACTCATCAATTCTATATGGTATCATTCTAACTTTTGCTGTATTTATAAGACTTACTTTTAAAATTTCTTGTTCTAAGTTTGTTAAGTTTTTCTGATTGAATTGAATTAGTTGCTCAAGTTTATTATAAATTCTAACTAATTTATCTTTATAATATATTTCTTCAGTCATCATATTTTATTATAATTATAGTTTCACTTTTTTAAAATTTAAAAGATTGTTTTTTTCATTAAATCTAATAAAAATTTTGTATGGTAGACTATTTTGAAATATTTTTTAAAGTTTATAGACTATTTAAAAAAATAAACTTTTTAAACTAAAATAAAGTTAAACTGATAGTTAATAAATTAATTATTGAACTAAGCCTTTAAATATAGGATTTAATCCTTAGTGTCTATATATATATATAAGGAAATAAATATGAGTTAACATATAATAGTGATGGATTATATAAAAATGATAACTCTTCATTTTTTTTTTTTTAATTTCGCCTTACTCAACTCAATATTTAAATAGATTTTTAATTTAAAATTTTAAGTTTTTAATATTCAACCACTCCTACAAGTTGTGAGTTAATTTTCTTATCTTCTAGTTACTTTGATCAAACTAACCAGAATTTGATTGCGTGAAACAGTATTTACATACGGCTCGACCCATGCGGTGGATGAAGTAAGCGAGAGCGACTATAACAACTGCGTTGTCGGGAACGCTCTGAGTACCCATAACGACGGTAACACCACAATTACCCTGTCGAAAGCAGGGTCGATGTACTTCATATGCCCCACTGCTGGTCACTGCACCGGTGGCATGAAGCTGGCCGTCAGCGTTGTTTCAGCCAGTGGCACACCTTCGCCCTCCTCACCAACTCCACCTCCACCACACCGTCATACTCCATCGGGATCAACAACCCCGCCTTCCACAACACCTTCCCCCACCAAGTACTATTATATATGTCAACTTTCATTTTTAAATAGTGACTAATCCAATGCACCCCTCTACCTGCACTTCCACTACACCTTCCCCCACCAAGTCAAGCGCAGCCGCCGGTGCCTCTGGTTTGGTTGTTGGGTTTTTGCTTCTTTTGGGATCTGGACTTACAATCATGGGCTAGGAAAGAGGCAGTGCCGATGCCACGTTTCTATTTTTGTTTCAATTTGTGTGATTTTCTTTAATAAAAAATCATAGTCGAAGATTTTTAGTATACATTACATTATTTCAAGAATAATGTGAGTAACATATTTATTTATGAAAAGCATTTCTTTGTATTTTAAAAACATCATATGTGACAAAATAACACTCTTTTCAAACTATAGATAAGATGATTGGAAAGCAACAAATGGGAAAGTAATAAAGCTGAAGCATCGTGAGGAGCGGGTAGCTGGAGATGATGGGAAAGTAATAAACGGGAAAGTAATAAACGGGAAAGCAATAGGGCCGAAGAAATATGCACTACTAATTTAAAATTTTTAATTTTAAATTAATATTAGATGTTTAAATTTTTACGTTATCAAAGTAGTCAACTCTTATCTATAGGATAAGATGATTGGAAAGCAATTAAATGGGAAAATAATAAGGCTGAAGCATCATGGGTAGCGGGCAACGGAAGATGATGGGAAAGAAATAAGAGTAATGTTAGGAGCACTCTCCAAGTGACACTTGCGTCAATATTTTCCTACGTCACACTCTTTTTTAATGAGGTTAATGGGCAGCCGGTTATCCCTTCTTAATTTCTTTTCGCCGCCTCAGCCTATCTCGATATTCTCAACCAGTCACCACCATTTTATTTCCACCGCTGATTAACGTTATCTTGCTTTCAAAAGGGATATATTTATGGGGCAGAAGGTGCAATTCAGCCCCTGTACCTGCAATGTTGTGGCAGATCAGCCCCTGTACTAGAAACACTGGCAAATGAACCCCTCTACTACATGAAATCTGCTAATCACCCCTTCTGTTAAGGATGACGTTAGAAAATGTCATCTTTCCATTTGATTTTTGTGACCCGTTAACAAAAGATG